CTAGGATTATTGTATTTCCACTGTGGTCCTTCAGTTTTGTCCTCCAGTATGAGACCCAAACCAGTTGACTAACACTCAGGTACCTACTTACTGCTAGTTGAACAGGGACAGCAGGTAAACTCCCAGGTAACTTATTGCCAGGTGAACAGTGACAGCAGGTGTGAGGAAACACGTCCAACATTTCCACTCATGTCGGGAATCGAACCACGGACACTCAGTGTGTGAGGCGAGAGCGTTGCCAACCAAGTCACGGGAAACGTGTATTACCATTAACGGTCACCCATCCAGACACTGCCCAGGTTAAGGGCAATCACTGCTAGCTGGTTAACTACCCAAACACTGCCCAGGTTAACAGCAATCACTGCTTCCCGGTCACCCAGCATACTAGTTAACGGAACAAGTCTGACCGACACGTACTATGTACGGGTTACTTGTGTATTGACAAACTAACCTAAACCCTACATACAATGACATACTGATATAACCTAAACTCAATTACAAGAATACTTCCTACCTCCTCACCTTCTTACCTCACCTTCCTACCTCCTTACCTTCCCACCTCCTCACCTTCCCACCTCCTCACCTTCCCACCTTCCCACCTCCTCACCTTCCCACCTCCTCACCTTCCCACCTCCTCACCTTCCCACCTCCTCACCTTCCCACCTCCTCACCTTCCCACCTCCTCACCTTCCCACCTCCTCACCTTCCCACCTCCTCACCTTCCCACCTCCTCACCTTCCCACCTCCTCACCCTCCCACCTCCTCACCCTCCCACCTCCTCACCTTCCCACCTCCGCACCTTCCCACCTCCGCACCTTCCTACCTCTTCACCTTCCTACCTCCTCACCTTCCTACCTCCTCACCTTCCTACCTCCTCACCTTCCTACCTCCGCACCTTCCTACCTCCTCACCTTCCTACCTCCGCACCCTCTACCTCCTCACCTTCCTACCTCCTCACCTTCCTACCTCCGCACCCTCCTACCTCCTCACCCTCCTACCTCACCCTCCTACCTCCTCACACACTATAACACTTTCTAACCTAACCTAACCTAGCATAACCTCTCCCCCTCTGATGAATAATAAATCCCGTCTTGTGGTCTCAACTCATCGCAGTGTACTGTGATCCAGTTCTCAGAGAAAACATTAAAAACAGAACTGTGTCATGAAATATGAAGATTAACATTGACGGTTCTTCGTTGTTAGATAAGAAGCTCTGGTGTATGTTAGCCGTTTATAATCATGTTAATTTCCTCCTCTCTGATGTTATTATCGTTTCCTTATTTATGTACTGCTGCGTGGAGAGAAGGGAAGGAAAGAGGAGATGTGGAAAAGTAAGTGAAGTAGAACGGGAAGAGAGGGAAACGAAGATGAGAGAGAGAAGACAAAGAAAGGAAGAGGTGGATGGAGGAGAGAGAGAGAGAGATTGGAAAAGGAGGAGGTAGAATGGAAGATATTAGAGACAGGGAAAGACAGAAGGGAAACAGGAGAGATAGGGGGAAAGAGAAAAGAGAATAAAAGAGGAGAGACAGAAATGGAACATAAAGAAAGAGAACAAAGGAGAAAGAGAAAGAGAACGAGGGATCCTTAGGGATCCTTATCCTAACCTTGTCAAACCCTGTGTAAAAGAGACCCCTCAAGAGGTTCCTTGACGCTGGTGAGGGGCTCTTGATCTAGGGAATTGGATCTGTGCTCCGGTTCCTTGAATTGAGTCTGAATACCTTCCATCCCCACCTCACATGCGCTGTATAATCCTGCGGGTTTAGCGCTCCCTATAATTATAATAATAATGTGCAAAAGAGAGAGATACAGACATGAGATATAAGGAAATAAAAGGGATAAGAGAAAAAAGGAGAAAAAAGTGGGAAAAGGGAAAGGAGAGAGAAGGAAAAGAAGAGAATAGTGGAGGGGGAAGATAAAATGAAGAGGAGGAGGAGGAGGGGGAATGGAGGGAAAGAAGAAAGTGAAGAGAAGGAAAGAAAGGAGGTGGAAAGGAAAAGGATTAAGGAGAATTAAAAAAAAATAAGTAGTGAGAGGGTAGTGGAGAGGAGAGCAGGTGGGGGGTTGGGGTTGGGGGTTGGGGGTTGGGGGATGTGGGGGGTGGGGGTGGGGGTGGGGGTGGGGGTGGGGATGGATGTGTGGGGTGGTGTGGGGTGGGGGTGGAGGTGTGGGGTGAAGGTGTGGGGTGGGGGTGTGGGGTGGGGGTGTGGGGTTGGGGTGGGGGTGTGGGGTGGGGGTGTGGGGTGGGGGTGGTGGGGTGGGATGGGTGTTACGACAACGTACGTCTTAATATCAACGCTCTAAGAAAGTATCTATTTAACTCGCTGCCTGACGAAAGTCAGCGGTTCCTGTTATTTTGTGATGGTCAACTAACTATATGTAAAAAATAGGTTAATCTTACTCTACATAACGTTTATATATATATAAACGTCAACACTCATCTTCTGGCCACTTGATATTACACAGATTTTAAGTAAGTTTGTGGCGCTGATAGCGAGTGTGTCACCAGTTTTACTTGACTGGTCGTAGTTTTCGATACATTTGGTATCCCACTGAAAAAAAACAAAAACAAAAAGATGTGAAAAATATATTGATCACGCGAGACTAACTTACAAATCACAATGTAATTATTGTTTAGATCATGCAGAAGCCAGATTATATAATGCTAGAACTTCATTATATATGATAACAGATTACATTGTAAGATAATTCAGATACCACTAATTACTGCAAATGTAAGCGTTGTTTGTCCAGTTTTCTGTTATGTTGGTCATCAGCACAGTCTCAGAGGCGGCTCCAGCATACTGTTTATCATTGTGCAATAAGACACATTTCGAACTTGTAATGGAGCTGTCTATAAACAGCCGTCAATATCCTGGTTGATATTCAAGTCCCATTCCACGAAGATGAACTCCAGGGATGTTATTGCAGTAAACAATTTCATCTTGGCTGAAGTAAGGAAGGAGTTCAACCTCTCTTGTCCGATAAACTGTTATTTTAACTTCTTGTTGTAGACAGTTCTTTCCTTTAGGTCTGGATGATAAAAGTTCAGATGTTTACTTTGACAGACTGAGATCATTTATCAGATCATTGAGTTCTTCTTGGGATAACTGCTGGTGTGTTGAAATGTTTACTTCAGACTTTCACTGCTATTACCTGTGTTACATCCTAAACTCTGAGTTTCTTCAACAGCTGACAACTGAAGGTCAGGCAGTGTTGTAAACACTGGTATGTAACGTTTTCACTGTGTGGCACAGGTCTCTACTAATTCCAAATCAGGATATTCCCACTCGACTTTCTTGTATCGACTGAAACCTTTCACATTCACCATATACATATCATGATAGAGTTAAACTGTCGGTTTTCTCATCAATATTTTTGAGAGCTTTACGAATTTGTAGTCCAGAGTTCATAGATGAAGAAATCTCCAAAATTTATGAAATATCCAATTATCTAAAATACCCAAAAAACGTAATTGATAAATCCTTTAAAATTGCTAGAAATACTTTTTACAGTCCAAAAGGGACAATCAGCCTTATTCAGCTAAAAATATGTTGGTTCTCCCTTACCATGAAAACTTGGTTGATATGCCTTCTCTTCTTAAGACTTTTAATATCAAAGTTGTATTTTAAAATTCTGATACAGTAAAAAAAAAAAATTGATAAAAAATTTCCCCCAAAATGCTGACGGATGTGTCTATAAGATTCCGTGTAAAATTTGCGATAAAGTTTATTACGATCAAACTGGTAAAAATCTCGAACTTAGATTAAAACAACATAAATATAGCATTAGAACTGGAAAAGATACTAATTTTCTATTTATTCATGTGAGAGATTTTAACCATTCAGTTGATTTTCAAAATGCTGAGAAAGTTGTATCAAGCAAGTCCATGGTCGACAGGAATCTAATTGAATCTTGTTTCATAAAAAGCAGTTTTGAAAATAATATATTTCTTTTGGTTTATATAAATTGGATTCATTTATAATTAATAAAATTTGGAAACAATTTAATGACACATTAGAAAAATAAATCTTAATGCTTGGGTAGAGTATTAGGTGTGTTTCACAGAGTCGAGTGTTGTCATGCGACTGTGAGGTGTAGTCTTGTTGTAGTGACGTGATTGTGAGGTGTAGTCTTGACCCTTTATATGCTTTCCTGATGTTTTGTCTTTTATAGTTCCTTGATAATGTAAGAAGTCACGAAACGCTTGGAAATTTTGGATGTGGTGTCCAGAGGTATATGGTGTTCTAATAGGATATCACGGCAACTAGCAACCTGTTCACCACCAGGTTATCACGGCAACTAGCAACCTGTTCACCACCAGGTTATCACGGCAACTAGCAACCTGTTCACCACCAGGTTATCACGGCAACTAGCAACCTGTTCACCACCAGGTTATCACGGCAACTAGCAACCTGTTCACCACCAGGTTATCACGGCAACTAGCAACCTGTTCACCACCAGGTTATCACGGCAACTAGCAACCTGTTCACCACCAGGTTATCACGGCAACTAGCAACCTGTTCACCACCAGGTTATCACGGCAACTAGCAACCTGTTCACCACCAGGTTATCACGGCAACTAGCAACCTGTTCACCACCAGACAATACCTTAATTTCTAAAACAGGGATTAGAGTAAACTCTGTGTATATACACTGAGATATGCACCTCTAGTAGTATCTTGTGCTCTAAATGTATGGTTAATGGAGTTTAATGCCCATTAATTATACTAGGCCATTGAGGCGGCGCAACGCCTGTTCGCCACTAGTCATGAATATTTTATTCTTAAATTAAGTATTAAAGTAAACTTCCAGTAAATATACACTAAGAGACATACACCTCTCTGTGTATATTTCCAATGTGTGTGTGTGTGTGTGTGTGTGTGTGTGTGTGTGTGTGTGTGTGTGTGTGTGTGTGTGTGTGTGTGTGTGTGTGTGTGTGTGTGTTTTAAGTATTTGGTAATTTTTGGTTTCGTTTTCATCAGTAAACATTTATTGATCCCATAATTTTTAGCTCATTGAGCTAAGATCAAAGCGTAGTATTTGTTCTTATCAGTTTAATATCTGATATGATCCTCATGTGGGATCGTCAGTATTAAACTGTGTTCTGGATAATGGTGAAATGCTTGGGGCTTGCTCCACCTTTGCCGCGGATCATCTCGGTATTGCAATATCTCCGGGATCTGATCACTCCCTCACGAAAAGTGGGTGGATGGATCAATAAATTCCTAACAAGTAGAACACAAAGAGTAATAGTAAACAGAGTAAAGTCAAGGGGCGGCTACAGTGAAAAGCTGTTTCACAAGGCACAGTACTCGTTCCCATTCATTTCCTCATCCTCATATCTGATTTAGACAGAGATGTAAGCCACAGCACCGTGTCCTCCTTTACCGATCATGCCAGAATTTGCATGAAGTTCAATGAGGACAAATTTCCATTACTCCGCTATGGAAAACTCGAGGAAATAAAAATAGATCCGAGTATAAAACAAATTCTAACCACATAATTGAGCAAAAAACTAATGTGAAAGACCTGGGAGTGATGATGTCAGAGAATCTCACTTTCAAAGATCACAACAGTGTATCTACCACATCTGCTAGGAAAATGATAGGCTGGATAAAGAGAGTTTTCAAAACTAGGGATGCCAAACCAGTTCTCTCTAGGCTGAAATACTGCTGTATCCTAACGGCCCCTTTCATGGCAGGCAAAATAGCAGACCAGGAGAACAGGGATATCTAAATATATTATGATATCAAGATAAAAAAATAGGGCACTATTTCCAAAGTTTAATATATTATTTTATAATAATATAATGAGTCCCACTTGTGAATTTACGAGTAAATGAAGAAGAGGAAGTTGCAAGGCAGGACTCAACTCTTGTATTCTACAGTAAATTATGCAAGATGAGGAAAGGAAGATAAAAAGGAAGAAGAGTAAAAGGAGGAGGAGGAGGAGGAGAAGAATTAGGAGGAGCAGGAGGAAGAGAGAAAGGAGTAGGATTAGGAGAATCAAGAGTAGGAGGAGGTAGAGGAAGACAAAGAGATGGACGAGAAGAGGGAAGGAAGGGGAGAACATTAACGAGCTACCATAAACACTTCACCAGCTGATGACACAAAGTGGCTCCTGCATCAAGTGGTAGCGGCTCACAACTGAGGGACTAAGGGTTCGATACCGGCACGAATGGAAACCGTTGGACATGTTTCGTTACTCGTGTTGCCACACTTCATCTAGCAGTAAGTAGGTACCTGGGTGTCAGGTGCCTGTTGTGGGTTGCATCCTAGGGAGGCTGATGGTATCCTTAGTTAGGCTGGGCTTTGATATGAACTGATGTAAGATAACCTTTAGCCTCTAAATAAACTTAGTATGATAACAGCTGTTAGCCTGTAAATGAGGTGATATTAGATAGCTTTTAGCCTGTAATCTAGCTGAGGTAAATTAACAGTTTTTAGTCTGCATATAAGCTGAGGTAGGATTACAGCTCTTAGCTTGTACATGAGCTGAGGAAAAAAAATGACACCTCTTAACAGGTCAATGAGCTAAGGTCGAATAACAGTACTTATGCTGGTAATGAGCTGAGATACGATAACAGTAATTAGCCTGTTAATGAGCTGAGCTGGATAACAGATAACAGATTGTAAATGAGTTAACTGAAGAAAGCAGCTTTTAGCCTGTTAATTAGCTGAAAGAGACTAACAGCTTTAATCCTGTAAAGGAGCAGAGGCAGGCAAATAGCTAATAGCCAGTAAAGAGCCGAGGGAATTTAACAGATCCATTTTGTAAGAGCTGAGATAGGATAACAGCTCCTAGTCTGTGAATAAGGTGAAGTATATAGCTCTCCATCCTGTACATGAACTGAGTACAAAAAATAGCTTAGAGAAATACAAGTAAAAAAAAGGGTCTTCGTAAGTGAACTTAAGTAAGGTAACTCTTAGCCTGTAAATAAGCTGAGACAATTAACAGCTCATAGCCTGAAAATAAGTTCAGGAAGGATAAAAACTCTTAACCTGTAAATGAACTAAGGTAGAAATATAACTTCTATCTGAGGTAGGATAACAGCTCAGTCTGTGGTATACCTGGTATACCTTTGCTAAGTCTAGTGGCTATATTTCTTTCTTACTTTTGTTGCCTACCTCGTCTACCAGCGCCGCCTCTGAGCAGAGATAGGAGCGTTCAGTTAAATTTCTATTTCAGGCTAATCTATCATCTTTCTACTTTTCTTTGCCTGTGTGGCTACGAGAAAAATATCCCTCACTCCTAGTAGAGCTCTTGCTCACACATGTTCCTTGGTGTTGTGGTTCCAGCTTCCAACTATTTTTTCTTTTTATTAAAGTTAAGCCTCGTGTTGCTAGTGCTTTCAGATATTCCTATTTGTTGTTGGTTCATTGAGTGTTTGTCGCCATTTCTCTTTTATTTCTGGGTTATCCTGGTTTACAGCATCCTGTAAATGTAAATATTACTGTAAACTCACCACGGATTTGACCTGCTTAGCTCTCACATCACGTTCGGTCATAAAAATTATTTTTTTGCAGATAACTGTTGAAAAAGTCTTACAACATTGAACGATATATCAACATATTTCTAATTTTGGGTAGAATTTTATCAGATAACAAAACAAAAATAAAAAAATAAAAACTTTCCCCAACCAGACAAGCCCAAATGTTGAGCAGACGCCTTCAGCAGCCTTCGTGTTTAGCATGTATCATTCTTACGTCCTTCATTCTGTAGATGTGACCCCACGGACGTGCGGGTGTTGTGATGTAGAGTTGTGACTGGCGTGGAGAGTTTAATGAACTACTGAGTGAAGAAGCAGCTTTTATCTGCCCTTCTGATACGCTCATCCTGTTCTGCATCAAGTCCACTTGAGTGAGAATTAGCTCCTTCCCTCACAGCTTAATTCAGAATTCAGTGAGAGCGGCCGCATTACAGTTGAACAGATCAGTCTGTGGCTTAGTTATGGTACTTGTGACTCAACTGATAGCTCGCTCACCTCACGTACTGAGTGTCCGTGGTTCACTCCCCTGCACTTCTGGAAACACTAAGCATGTTATCTGATACCTGCTGTCCCTTTTCACTTGTAGGGACCTGCAGGTACCTGGGTGTTAGCCGACTAGTGTGGGTCGCATCTTGGAGGACAAGATTAAAGACCCCGTAACGCACTGACTTTACTGGGTTATTATGGGTGGCTAACCCTCCTGGATAAAAATCCAAACAAAATCTTATCTTAACTAGTATAGCACGCCTACTCTCTTCTCGTCCCCCTCCCCCCACCATGAACTGGGAACTGCACTCATCCCGCCTCTGCCAGAGGCCTGGTCGCCATCAACAAATGTTCGTGTTTTACAACTATTATCATATATATATATATATATATATATATATATATATATATATATATATATATATATATATATATATATATATATATATATATATATTTAACAAGCCAGCCGTCTCCCAGCGAGGCAGGGTGACCCAAAAAGAAAGAAAATCCCCAAAAAGAAAATACTTTCATCATCATTCAACACTTTCACCTCACTCACATATAATCACTGTTTTTGCAGAGGTGCTCAGAACACAACAGTTTAGAAGCATATACGTATAAAGATACACAACATATCCCCCCAAACTGCTAATATCCCGAACCCCTCCTTTAGAGTGCAGGCATTGTACTTCCCATTTCCAGGACTCAAGTCCGGCTATATAAAAATAACCGGTTTCCCTGAATCCCTTCACTAAATATTACCCTGCTCACACTCCAACAGATCGTCAGGTCCCAAATACCATTCGTCTCCATTCACTCCTATCGAACACGCTCATGCACGCCTGCAGGAAGTCCAAGCCCCTCGCCCACAAAACATCCCCTCACTACTTTATCACAATAACCACCATTACTATAATTACCACAATAACCCCTAGTACTTCCACTGCAACAATAACCATTACTACTACCATCACTTTAATAACCACAACCACAATAACCACTGCTACTACCATTACCACCACAGCTGTGAAGGAATTTTTATTCTACCGGTCTAAGTCATCAATGACGATGTAGAGCCAACCATGAGATCCTGACCCATCAGGTCTAGGACCTCGTATTTATGAATGTGGTAGTGACTGGCATCCTCACATATCCAGAGCACTTGATAAGTGTTCTTTCTTTGCCGTTTCGGCAACGAAAGAACAACTAAGCTGGCCCAGACATGTGATTTCCAGAGCCAAGGTTGGCAGTCTGGCAGAGTCTGGCTTCTGGGAACAAGTGAAGGTGTCGCGGCTGCTGGCGAGGGACACCTGGCGCGGGATGCTAAGCGATTTGTGGATCTTTGGACCTTCGCCAGATTCACAGTCAAGAAAGAACAAAAAGGAACAATACCATGACTGGGACATTACACAAATAACCCGCACATAGGAGAGTAAAGCTTACGACGATGTTTCGGTCCCATTTGGACCATTTACAAAGTCATAGTGTGACTTTGTAAATGGTTTAAGTCGGACCGAAACGTCGTCGTAAGTTTCCCTCTATGTGCGCGTTGTGTATCAGTCAAATGTAGTGAAGGTGACCTTGTAGTCTGAGTGTTAGCCACAAATAGGTGAATGACATTCAGACATGGCGACCTCTCATTAGGCAAAACAGGAATGAATGGATGTCTTGCCCTAATGTCTCTAGCACGTAAAGAAACTAGAGAAAGTGCAAAGGTTTGCAACAAGACTAGTCCCAGAGCTAAGAGGTATGTCTTACGAGGAGAGGTTAAGGGAAATCAACCTGACGACACTGGAGGACAGGAGAGATAGGGGGACATGATAACGACATACAAAATACTGAGAGCAATTGACAAGGTGGGCAAAGACTGGATGTTCCAGAGATGGGACGCAACAACAAGGATACACAGCTGGAAATTGAAGACACAGATGAATCACAGGGATGTTAGGAAGTACTTCTTCAGCCACAGAGTAGTCAGGAAGTGGAATAGTTTGGGAAGCGCTGTAGCGGAGGCAGGATCCATACATAGCTTTAAGCAGAGGTATGATAAAGCTCACTGTTCAGGGAGAGTGACCTAGTAGCGACCAGTGAAGAGGCGGGGCCAGGAGCTTCGACTCGACCCCTGCAACCTCAACTAGGTGAGGTGAGTACACACACACACACACACACACACACACACACACACAAAGTCATGGAGAAGATTATCAGGAGAAGA